TCCCTTATTCACTGTCCATACCTGGATAAAGGGTACATCCTCCCAAACCAAACCCACTGTCACCCTGTCGATTCCAGCTTATAGCAAAAATATAGGATGGACGAAAGTCGCCCTGTAGGGTTTCCAAGGCTGTAAACGTTTTAGGAAGCAGACTGCCACCTCTTTGTCCCATGGAACAACTGATTAGTTCAAACTAGCATCTTTTGGTTAGCACAGCTGAGTACTTTATCCACTGTGCCTCCAGGGTTTCTTAAAAGATCTGTATTATTACTAATTACAACAGCATGTAAATGATAATTATCTCAAAATAAATGTTTAATTTTTAAAAAATCATATAAAAAGCTAAAACAAAATTTAAAAAATTAACAGCAAAAATTGTTTCCTAAAGAAAAATTATGGACCAACCACAGACCTTTCTTTTATTTATTTATAAATTTAGTATTTTGGTGTATTATCATATCTAAAACAAAGCAAACCTCTGAAATTTGCCCTGTTTTTGTTTAATTATTTCATTAATGTTAGCAAGAGTAAAGTTATGCATTAATTTTACTATTTAACAATATTTGTAAGTATTTTTTCTAGCATCCATATTCTCAAAAAGAGCTCTTTAAAATGTTCAATAATATATAGACGTTAATTTATAAATGATAGAAATCTATAAATGATAGAAGTCTGTGTCGTTCCTTACTTTCTTCTTTGCTTTTCACTTACTTTTCCACTTTCTCCTTTTTCTAAATGTTCAGATCAATATGCTTCTCAATTTTAAGGATGACAAAAGTGAATGTCCTTGTCCTGAAGAAATCAGAGACCAGCTCTTGGATTTTCATGAAGATTTGATGACTCATTGTGGTAAAGTCTTCTTGATTATTTTATTAATGCTTATTAAACATATATATTTAATGCACAATTATTGATACAAGATTAAGAATATATGTAAATGGACTTAAATATGCACATGGTATGTAATCACAGCACACAGTACTTATCATAATAGGTATTATGGCAAAATGGCTGTTCCTATGTAAGAAACCGTCTGAACTGGAGAGAAGATCAGAAAGGCAGTAAGTCCAAGCAGAAGATGACAGCAGTTCTTTCTCGTTTCTCACATTCTTACATTGACAGGAAAACTGAAGGAAAATGGGGCATGTAACCAGGTACTTGGAGTCCTGGGCGCTGTGGGTTAATGTGCCAAACTGCAAAGCCAGTTTGAACTGCAAGGTCGGTGGTTCAAGTTCACCAGTCACTCCTTGGAAACCCTGTAGAGAGTCGCTATGGGTCAGACCAACTTGACGGCACTTAATAGCAACAACAACCAGATGCTTTGGGTAGACAGGTTAGATTGGTCTGGTCCAAAGAAATGTGATCACATGTACTAGAAATTCAATCTGTTGAAGAACTACATTTTAGGATGGGCCTAAGTAAACCACCATATAACTTTTTAATGTTATGTGTTTGGAAACTGTGTAGTTTTTGTTTTTGTTTTTAATGTTTTTGTTGTGGAGTGAGTGAAAGTTTACAGGGCAGATCATCAGTTTTACATTCAACAAATCATATACCTTATTTCATTACAATGATTATAATCCCCTCCATATACCATCAGTTAACAGTATTTCTCTCTATTCACTTAAGCTTTTTTTTTTAACAAAACAAAAAACACTCAGGAATATATAATAATTTACATCTCCAAAGGGCACATTCTACAAGTCTGCCTCCTGGCCACCGGCTCTTAGTCCCTCTCTTCCAGTGAATCTAGAGTCCTCAGCTGCTCCCTCTTTCCATGTCCCCATATCTGCCTCAGTCTCTGGTGTCCCTGCTTCTCTGGATAAGGTCCCGCATTCTGCTTGTGTGCTTCTCCCTTGATGGTCCTATGGTCCTCTGTTTATGGACTGTAAGATTAACCACTCCCCTGTTTTTGTTACAAAACTTCTACCTTAACAATTGTGACATTCACAATTCGTCATAACAGTTATTCACTATTGAATCATACGAATCTTATCCCCATCTTTTTCCCCCAGATCCATCTAGACAAGATGACAGCTATTCAGGGGGAACTCTTTCTTTCCCCCAACACTCTTAAACTAAACTCTCTCTTGAAACCTTGTAAGCCAGTCACTTCATGCCTTTATTGCCCCCTCATTTTAGATAGCCAATGTTTAAGTTGCCCGTCCCTATCTACCCTGTTTACAGAGGGGATAGCACTGGTACTTGATATGAAGACCCCTTTCCTCTCTGTTGTTAGTTAGAGTAACTACCTCCATGAGTATAGGTCAAGTTCATCAAATTGTAGCAATTTACCCTTGATAAAAAAAAAAAAATTGTTTTTGTAATCGTCCTCAAGTCAAGTTCTGCTTATCAAGCCATCAAGGCTAGATCAAATTAGTACTGTTTGCAAGTTTGGGTGTTCTTGTGCATCTCCCCTTATCAGCTGGATGCTTCACTCTCAGCTCTAGACCTCCGTGGCTATGTCCTTGTCCATGGGCTCAGGTGTCCCCAGGTATTACCACACTTTAGACCAACCAGTCCTTCCTCTTGTCTCTTTCATCTCCAGGTCAACGGACATTTATTGAACATGGTTGAACTCAGCCCATGTCTTCATTGCTGCCTTTGCCTGTCTTCCACTCACCAGTAGAACCATAGGGTCTCCAGCAATCTTACCTGCCTGTTCTTGTGTCCCCTTTAAGTTTCAGTCTTAGAGAGGAGTTTGTCCTGAAGAAACTCGATTGCTTGTCTTGATGGCTTCCCGGCGAACAACTTGCTATTCTTGTCATAGCCAGTCATGCTGACATTTAAAAAAAAAAATGTTTTCTTGTGAATTATGTGATAGTTTACATGGGAGAACATTAGTTTTACATTCATTCTATCATATAACATCTCACTGCCATGGTTACAATCCTCTCAATGCGTCATCAACCAACCAAAGAGTATACCCTGCAAGCCTACACCCCAGTCATCAGCACACAGCCCCTAGCCCTCTCTGGGTCTAGAGTCATCAGTTGCTCCATCTCTCCATGTCATCGTCTCTGCCTCCATCTCTGGCATCGCTGTTTCTCTGGGTAGAATCCCGCACGCTGCTCTTCTCCCTTGATGGTCCCAGGGACCTCTGTTCCTGGACTGCAAAGTCACTCCCCTTCATATGCTACAAAACGTCTACCTTTACATTGTCAACCCTCACAATCAGTCCTGTTAACAATTATTCACTTTTGTACCACAAGAGACCTATCCCCATCTCCTTTCATCAGCCCTGCTTAGACAGATTGGATACTACTCAGTGGGGATTCTACCTTCCTCTGCGCCCTCTGGATCTAGACTCCCTCTTAAAAGTTTGCAAGCCAGACACTTCTTGCCTTTGTATTCCCCCCACTTTGGGTAGCCAATGTCCAAGTTGCCCATCCCTGTCTACTCTGTGTATGGAGGGGGTGGGAATGATTCTTGCTGTATAGATTTGTTTCCCCTTTTGAGCTACTGCATCCATAGGTGTAGGTCAAGTTCACCAAATTGTATCAGATTACTCTTTTTTTCATCTTCTTTCTTCTTCTAGTTGAGCTCTGATCATGCAGTCATTGAAGCCAGGTCAAGTGGGTATTATCTGCAAGTGTGAGTGTTCTTATGCATATGTCCTCTCTTCTTGTTATCTGGGTGCTTCACTCTCCACTCTAGTCTTCTGTGGCTTTATCACTGACTCTGGGCCCAGGAGTCCCCAGGTCTTGCCACACTGCTGGCCAACCAGGTCTCCACCTCGGTTCACAGGAGTCTATTGAACATTGTAGGACTTAGCCCGCAGCTTCATTGCTGTTTGTCCCTCATTTTTCCTTATCGGTGATGAACGTGCTCACCAATCAGAGCGTATGTCTGCTCGTATATTCCTATTGAGTCTTAGTCTTGGCAGGGGGTTTGCCCTGAGTGGACCTGACACTTGCCTTGATGTCTTCTTGGCAAGCAACTTGCTTGTACTTGTAGCAATCAGTCGGACTGACATTATTGTTTTGTATTTTTTCTGTCAGTCTTTCTTTCAAGAAGTATCTTCTGTTCTTCTAGCTGCTCCAGGCAGGTCTGCTTGTCCTTTCAAGTGGAAATTTCCCACCTCAGAAGATTTTGGATGGAGTTCAGGATCCCCCTATAGTCTTATGTAAGGCAGAGGCTCCACAGTAAGCCTCCTTCAATGGGCATGTTATAGCCCCATTTTAGGTATTCCAGTTAGTTATAGGCAGAAGACTGACTTATAAGTTTCTATGGTGATATTTCTGGCTATTCCATTCTCTCCCCTTCAAGTGTCTATTTTATAATGGTATGCCAGGGAAACCAAGATTCAAAAGATAGCCAATCATCTTAACATTATTTCCCCCCTTTTGCCCATTCCAACCATGTCTCAATCCCTGTATCCCAGAGTCCTGTTGTTCCATCCAAGGTTGTCCATACATCATTATATACCTCTGTCCCACTTAGCCCATGCAAGCCTGACTTTGTTTTCCCATCTGCCTTGTTCTTCCATTCCCCTCCCCCTTCTTGTGTGTTGACCCCCCCTCCCTAGCACCCAAACTATACTTTGTCTATTCCCTACCCTGTGCTCCACCTTTCCCTCCGTCCCCTCATCCCACCCCCAACATCCCAGTAACCAGCAAAG